GATTAAGAAAAGAATTGGTCCCAAAACTGATCCCTGTGGAACGCCGTGTTTAATTTCCGAAAATTTTGAAAATTTATCAGATACCCTTATTATTTGTATTCTGTCGGATAAATAGCTTCGAAACCAGTGCCATGTTGCATTTCGTAAACCATAAATGAATAGTTTTTTTAAAAGTATATCATGTCTGACGCAATCAAAAGCCTTTGAAAAATCACAAAAGACTGATGCTAACATTTCACCCTGATTTAAGTTAGAGTATGCGTTTTCTAAAAAAGAGAATATAGCATCTTGTGTGTTCTTCGAAGCTTGAAAGCCAAATTGACATGTAGCTAAAATTTGGTGTTTCGTTAGGAAATCGACCATCCTACTTTTAACGAGCCCTTCAATTATTTTAGATAAAGTAGGAAGTAATGAAATTGGTCTGAAATTCGAAGGATCTTCCAAGCTGCCCCCTTTGTGTTGTGGTACAACAATTGCAGTTTTCAAACATGCCGGAAAAGTTCCATTAATAAACGATAGGTTAATTGCGTCCACTAACGCATACAGAGTACTATCTGGAAGATTATAAAAGATTTTTATAGAGATTCCGTCATATCCTGCAGCATTTTTGTTTTTTATCGCTGCTATGTTTTCTTTTAACTCCATTATATTAGTGGAGTAAAGGTGACAAGCATCTGTTATATTCACGTCTTCGATATATTTTAAAGGATCATGTTTAACAGTGAGCTTAGAGGTGAACTCATCAGCAATTGTCGAAAAAAACTCGTTAAACTGATCAGGACTTACATTGTAGGAGGCTTTAAAAGAATTTGTCTTTCCTCGAAGCTCGTTTATAATTGCCCAATTCTCTTTTACGCTATTACTGGAGTTTTGTATCCTGCTGTTGTAATATCTATCTTTGGCCAACCTCAATGTTTTTTTGTAGATCTTTTTATATTTATTTACGTAGGAAATGAAACCCTCATTTGTTGTATATTTGCGGATGACCAGTAGTGATCTCATATTCCTGGCCGAAGTTTTGATTCCAGTTGTTATCCATGGCTTTTTCTTTTTATCTTTAATTTTTATGATCGGAAATGCTTTTTCAAAATTTTTTGAAATCATCTGGTGTATCATTGAAAGTGGATCAAGGTTATATGATGAAATAACCCAATTAGTTCTATCACATTCAGTTTTAAATTTTTTGTAGTTTTTCTTACTGAATATCCTACCGAATCTGTATTTTTTTGTTTTTGTTGTATTTAAATGAATGTTTACCAGGATTGATTCATGATCAGAAAAATCTACAGAATTCACTTTACATAATACATTTTCCTTATCAAAATTTGTACAAAAGTAGTCTATTAACGTAGCCGAATCCTTTCCGTAACGGGTAGCTTCTCTAACAAATTGCGTTAAATCAAAGGAAATGAATAAGTTGTTTACAGCCATTACAATATTATTTCGTTCACTTAAATAGTCTATGTTAAAGTCCCCACCCAGTATTAGACGACATTTTTGTTCTAGTTTTGACAATAAAATCTCAAGTATTTCTAAAAATACTTTAGCACTACTGTTTGGAGTTCTATAAACACAAATAATATACAAATTATTGATAGGACTAAAAACTAATGAAAATTCGAAATCATTTTCTACTATAAGATCATCAAATTTAGATACATTTACAAAATCATGGACAATATTATTTTTTATAAATATCATGGTTCCCCCACAATCTTTAAGTATACGAGAGTATTTGGAAACTATAGTATATTCCGGTAGATACAAAGGTTCATCAATTTCTAACCAATGTTCAGTTATCATTAAAAAATCAGGATATTCGTGTTCCTCTAAATAAACTGAAAGCCTATTTATTTTATTGCGTATGGACGGAATATTTAGAACTAGAATTGAATTACATTGTAAACTAGAATTTGTTATGTTCCCGTCATTACTTGAAGATTGTGGATGGGAATTCATGGAGTTTATTTCGAAGGGTTTGAAAAATTTTCATTGTTCGTAATCGGTGAATCAATATTGTTTGGTATGTAACCCATGCTTGGAGCAGAATGATCTAGAGCTGAATTGTCGTGTCTATTTTTTATGGTATTGTAGATTAATTGAAGCAGTTCTTTTTTTTCATAATACGTAAGCAGACTATGTCTCGAAGTAACTCTTGAGGGAATGAAATATGAATGTGAAAATCGACGAATACATTCACTTAGTTTAAAGTCATTTTGTTGAATAAGTTTATTCAGGATAGGACGATTATTCTGGAATGGTGGTCCACAAATAAACAAATTTGTGTTTGCGGAATTATGGAGAAGAGTGAGTAAGAGTTCAGATATAACAGGCTTACCTTTAAGTGCATTAGTAACTCCTGTAAATAATATAACACAGTCCTCTTTTGTGAATCGTCTAATCATCCTGAGGCAATGTTTGATGTGGTCATCAAATAAAAGTCTTCTTGACCATTGGCAATTGACGTCATATTCCTTATTTGTCAAATACTTGAATAAACTTATTAGCCCTCTCGCATTTTCGTCACCTATTATTAACACTTGAGGTTTTTTACCAGCCATTGCTTGTGTTTCTTCTATATCCTCATTTACGATTACGTTCTGTAGTTGTTTTCGTGTGTTACACTCAAATAATTCTTTGGTCGCAATTTTTAATTGATTCATAAGTGCTTCATTATCTGTCGATAGGGTTTTAATGGAACTGAGCATTTCGTTATTCAATTTCGTTATGTCTGTCAAATTATTTTCAAGAGTCAGTATTTTTTTCTCAAGTTCATTGCTATCTCTTAGAAGTTCATTGTTTTTTTGGGTGAGTTCCAAAGTCTCCTTACTCAGGTCTGTAATTTTTTTCCTTTGTTCATTAATTTGTTTTTCTAAGTCCTTTTCTGCTCTAAATACATCTTCTTCAAAGTCTTGCGTATTCCGTTGCAGCCGTAAAATATGCAAATTTTTTTCTTTTAGTTCCTTGGTTAAGGATTCATTAGCCTCATTTAATTCACCAATTGTTACTTCTCTTTCCGTCTGAATAGCTTCTATAGTTTTATCTTTATCCTGTAGTTTCTTATTTAGTTCAGATATTTTTTGTTGAAAAATTAAATCGTCGGGAAGTCCATCTTCAAATTTTCTTTGACAATCTTTCGAACACAAAATGTTTCCGTTTTCCAAGAATTTACAGGAAACTTTCCTCTCAACGCATGCGAAGTGAAATATACTGTGGCACTGTATACAGCAAACGTTAGGACAATTTTTGTTTTTGCAACATTTAAAAGAAATATTTGCGTCCATTATCCGAATAAAGTTAAAAGAAGTAAAACGCCGCCACTGGTAGAATATTTGTAAATCTTTAAAGTTGTTATCCTATTGATAAGTTTTTTGCACCAACAAGTTTTTTTTCTTTTTATTTAAATTCAATTATCCATTAACACATGTAAATACGACAGATTAATACATTTTCACGAAACACATTTCAAGTTGAGAAAAAGATAATTAGTCCACCTAATAGCCCGTAAAAACAGCTTCAATTGTATATAAGTTTCACTAAAAACTTTAAACTATTTCTTCCTTATTTTCTAAATAAACGAGAGTACGGTACAAACACGTGCGCTAGGTTGAAGAATCGATAAAATCGATAAAATCATTTGAAAGGGGGTTCTATTTTATATTCAACCGAGCAAAAAATTTTAAAATTTGCTTCATTACGTGTTGATTTATTAATGTTTAAAAATAACAAAACCTCACAAAATAGGAAAGCAACTAGACTAACAGTGCTAAAAGGGATTCTTATTCTTAATGCTTGACTTGAACGATCTTCTATAGGTGAACCAAACCTCGTTCTTCGGATGGCACCAAACTATTAGGTATAAATCTTTATAAACTTCTTGATATAAACTTGATATAAACTTCTTAGATACAACTTAAAATAAACTTCTTAGATACAACTTGAAATAAACTTCTTAGATACAACTTGAAATAAACCGTCTAGATATAGCCAAGCTAAAAGGAAAGGTAAAAATGTTAAGAAAGAAAATAGGAAATTTGCACAGGAACCAGATAAAATGCCTTTAACTAATAATTGAACAATTTAAAACTATGAACTGAATAATTTCACAGAGACTAAAATTAATATGAAAAGGAAAAATCTTATTTAACATATTTAAATATAGAGAAGCATAATATCTTACTCCAAACAAAATAATATATAAAATTATATAAAACGTGTTATCCTTGTGTGTCATTCATGTATTAAGGTTATGTTTAATATTTTACATTTCATTTAAGAAATTATTGTACAAAATATATATTTTCAACAATATATCGGTATTAAATCTTACCTTATAAAATCAGACGGAATATACGATAGATAAAAATGATTTAGTACATCGGATGACCCAGATAATTTAAAATTTAAAATCAACCTTATTCGTTGACATATTCAAATCAAAATGGAATAGGAACTTTTGACGCAAGGCATAAACGACAAATGACATTTGAGTAGAGATGTTTGTTTCAAAATAACGAAAACGGTTCCAACCGTTACAACCATAATATGGCCAACGTTTTTTTCGCGCAGCAAAATTTTCAAGTAGGTGTTACTCAAAAAGTAAAAGTCCTATAAAAAAATGTTTCTTAATAGTTTCTTATTTTTTTATGAACTTTAAGAATATGTAAAAAATGAGGTTCCAATTTGAAATAAAAAAAAGTCTACCTCGATACGGTCATATTGTGGTCAGCTATAAAAAATAAATTTCGCCAAAATGTTTCCCCCAAAAAACTATAAAATTTTTGTCTGAAACTTTTTTTTATAAAATGCATATTTTCGCCAACATTTAAGTGTAATACTTTTAAACAAATAAACGTTACAATACAATTATTAGATGACGCTTCTTGTTTTTGAATAAACTGTGTATTCAGACTGTTCCTTATTTTCCGATTTTAATCTATATGTATATTTATTTGGGCTCTATCTACATTCTTATAATAAAAAAAATATGTTTATTCTAGGTTACTTACAATAAAGCCGTAGAGTTGTGTCTATCGAGGTCTATGCAGTTAGCTTCTATACAGACTAAAGAAAAAAATCAAGAAATTCTGCAGTATTTAAATAGTTTAGGTAATATTTTTTGCCGTATTTCACTTTTTCTTTACTGTTTTACTTGTCTATTGATATTACAATTGCATGGGTATGTGTGTATATGTTACGGTTAAAGTGTTTACTTGGCTAGTTTATAGACTAGCTGGATAGTATACATACTATCCAAATAGCTGGTTGTTTTTGATGGAAAATTATATATAAATATATATGTATAATAAAATAGCTATAAATATTGGTTGATTTGTATATTATCCAGCTAGTTTACAAACTATGCAAGATTTACAGTATTTGGATAAATTATGAACCTAATATTCGTAGTAACACATAATAACCAACTCGTCGGTTAGTATGTAAACTGACCAATTTTCTTTGGATAATTTAGTTTAGGATAGTCAAATTTATAGGAACAACATACCATTATTAAAACAATTAAAAAAAAAGTAAAATAATTAAAAGTGACATAAAAATACTAAGTTCACTATATCACTATAATCACTTCCAAAAGTAGGTTTTCAAATTGTTGCTTTTGATTCATTTTCAATAGGTACCTACTCTTAAACAAACTTTGCAAGACACCTCAGTAAACAGCACATAATACTTACCATAAACATAACCTCACTTTTCTAACAAATTAACCAAAGAGGATTGGTCCGTTTGCATACTAACAGACGAGTTGGTTATTATGTATTACTACGAATATTAGGTTCACACCTTAACCAAATACTGTGGATAGTTTGTAAACTAGCCAAAAACACTGGTTAATTTGTGTACTTTTCTTGTGGTTTGTACTTTGGCTATAAATCTTGTATAGTTTTTAAACTAGCTGGATGGTATACAAACCAACTAATATTCATGGTTAGGTTAGGTTGAAAATGAGTGAGATGATCTCATCGCCTTCCACTGCGACCCAGATGTGTCTATTGTGGCTCATGACTAACTTATAGTTCTGTGTACAAGCCACACTTTTTGATAAAGGTCATGGTTGAATTGGGTGAGACTTGTTTAAAGTCGGTAGGCTCCAGTCGGGTAAATCCGAAGATCTGGAACCTGGTTCTTTCCAGAGCGGAGCAGTTACATAAAATGTGCTCTGCATACTCATCCTCCACGCTGCAGAATCGACAGTCCGATGTTTGTTGCAGACCTATCCTTCTCATGTGGTTGCCCAGACGGCAGTGCCCTCTCATCAGTCCAGTGAAAATGCGTAGATCTTTCCTCTCCATTCTCGGATCTGAGCAGAGGCGTTCATAGAAGGGTTGGTTATAAACGCCTTCGAATGGGTTAGCCCTGAGGTATCTCTCCAGTTTGTGAGTGTTGCACCATCCGTTCATTTTGAGATAATTCCTTTGGTAGTGTTTTTGAAATGCCCAGAAATGATTCTGGTCCTATGAACACAGATTCGGTTCATCTTTTAGCAAGTGCGTCGGCTTTTACGTTGCCCTCCAACCACTGTGTCCCGGAACCCAGATCAAAGGAACTTTTTTCCGGGCACCGAAGCATTTTAGGGTATTTATACAGTTCCAAACCAGCTTTGAGTCAACTCGATTGGAGCTCAGGGTCTTAAGGGTTGCCTGGCTATCTAAAAATATCTTTATAGTCTTGTTTGCGGGGAGAAAATTAATCGACTCTCTCGCTCCCAATTCTATAGCAATAATTTTTTTTAATTTTTTTATTCATATTTGGTTTTTAAATTGTTAATCTACTTTCTAACCTCATAATGTACCTACGTTACTTTCTGTACTTATTATCTTTTGATAAATAAACATTATTCTATTCTATTCTATTTCTGCTTGGAAGATCGTGGCCAGAGAGCCTAGGTTTATTGATATATCAACTCTAGGCTTCTGGCCGAAAACTACCGATCCTACTCCTTTTTCAGTTTTGGAGCCGTCCGTGTACAATGCATAGTCTGCCTGGGAGAGGGTTTTTCCCTCTGCTCCATGCGTCTCTGCCTTGAATGAGGATGCTGTATAGCTTTTTTATGTGCTGTCGGAGAACTAGCGAGTCCGAGACCATACCGAGAATGAGGTGGTTATTAATTTCACTCATCAGCCCCGTCTTGTCCCATCGCAGTTCTTCGTAACATTGACTACCCACCTTTAGGAGCTTCTAGGAGACCATCCTGGCCTCTCTTTCCAGCAGAATGTGGAGAGAGGTTAGGTCCAGCATGGTCTTCATGGCTCCCGTAGGACCAATATTCATAGCCATTTTAGTAGAAATAATATTTTCCATTAAAATAGCCAGACATTTGGATAGTTTGTATTCTCTCCAGTTAGTCTATAGACAAGCCAAGTAAACCCTTTAACCGTAACATATACATTCCCAACGCTTGCTCAGAAAACAATTGATCCTGTCTTACTTCTTCCGCAAATAACTTTTGACGAAGTATTTTGAACACAGAAATAAAACATCTAAATTAGTTTTAGTCCAGTCTGCGAAGGAGTTGAAGATGTCAAGGAGTAATAAGCAGAAAAAATACTAAAGAATTTAGATAATTTTTACGCTTTAAATACGTGAGGGTCTGGCTTTTTATCCATATTTGTTTCCCCATCATATTCTGTGTCCGCTGGGAAGATACTGATATATTATAGGAACAATACCTCTTTATGTCCCAGCTTCATTTACATAATGGAGTTAACATTGGTTTCAACTTTTCTTCTCCTATTACTGGGTCATATTTAGTCAGTTGGAGTTTGAGATAAACAGCATTGTAAGGTCGACTTCTTCCCCAATAACTGCCAATTGTTTTATTTATTGACTGTTCAATAATTTTACTTACAGTCAGCATCGTCTGATGGTTGAAGCGTTATGATGCCGTTTCCATGAAGTTTAGATCTTAGTAGGAGGATCAGTCAAGTTTTGATGCGCTGGTTGGAGAGGAATAGTTCTTAATCATTGTTATTTCGGTGTCTAGATTAAAATTGATGTCTACTGACTTTTTCATTCAATTTCATCTTTGCTGTTCTGACACTGTTGTACTGTTTTTATTTAAAACTGCAATGCAGTTTGTTTAACAAGCAAGGTATCATCAAAAATAAAATATGTTACACATTATGGCGCCCAATGATTTTTAATATTCTTGAATAATGTCTACGTCAGCGCTCTAACAGCTATTTAAAATTTTAGTAATGCCGAGTAGTTAATCAATAATTTTCACTTATTCCTCACAAATTGCGTAAAATGAGGATTGTCTGGCCAAATAACTTTATGCAAGAAAAATCATCCATCACTATTCACATCAAAGTTTGGTAAGATTTATAGGGTTCACATTGTTTCTAACAAATTGAAGGATGCAAAGGGATAATTAGTATTGCATTTAATTAGAATTCAAAACTTGAATAAAAATTACTAATATCGTTACCAAGGATAAAACTAATATATCCTTTCAACGTTTCTATTCTTGGATCTCTCTAAAGTTTGTCATTCTCTTTCATGTGACCCACAAATTTATGTAGACATGTTTGGTTGAATGTCTATAAAGCTAGCATGGCAAAGTCAAAAGCCAGCAGAGCGACTTATACTATATTTTTTACCCAATTTTTAATTTTTTTACTCCTGTCGTTACCGAGAAACATTGGCCATGCTAGCTTGATACTAATGCTGAAATGGCCAGTGCTGTATTTCTGTTTCTATGAGATATATTAGAATCGGGTTTGCGGCATATTTTTTTGTTCCTGATGGGATAATTTGAAGTTAAACTAGATGTACCGAAAATTTTCCATAATTGTTTTTACATTTGGGGTCCGGGGATGGTCCTATCCGTAAGGGGATTTTTGAAATTTGTTTCCGAATTTTCAAATTTATTTTAAAACCTATTTTTAGATAATTCTGACCTTTCGGATTTCGATTTGCAATCTACGATATGTTAAACTCACAATTGTCAAGCTTTTATTTGTTAAAGAGTAAGTTTTCCCCTTCCTCGCCTTAGCTAGGATCGAAAACTTTTAGTATTTTTACCTCATAATTGCTTCAAACACACCCCTGAAGAAAAAATCCCCCTTCTCTACGACTCCCTATTGAGCGTTTATAGACTGGATTAGTTCTGGAATATCCAAGACCTAAATAGTGATCATTACTGACTTGGCTATTAGATATTAATTATCGAATTTCCAGAATTCTGGATATGGGAACCCGATCCCCAATACGTATACTTCGTCCAAAACAAACGTCTGTTCTACTGGACTTCCGGAATCCTGACCGAAGATACCTGGTACTGGATCAACGGCACGGCCATAACGTACTTCAACTGGTTGGAGGGCAACCCCTCTAACACCGATAACAAGGAGAAGTGCCTCGAGGTCCTCGTTCCTGCTAACAAGAACGACCTATTGTGGAACGACGTCGATTGCAACTCAAAAAGGCACTTCATCTGCGAGAGCGTCGATCCCAATGGAGTCAATCCGGTGTTTTCGTTTTCGTCTGAGAAATGTTACTATATCAACCACAAAAGGGTAAAGCATATTAATATTTCTGTATTGAGATCGTAAACAGCTTCATTGTCGAAATCAAACACTAGATAGCACAAAGCTTCATATTTCTCGTGATTAAATAAATTGGCGAAATTAAATTCTCATTATTCCTTGAAAGTATTAGTTGACAAAATCAAACACTCGAACGAAAAGCTTCCTTGTTCCACGAAAGCAAAGAAGTTGACGAAATCAAATAATATTGGAGAGTATAAGATGACGAAATCAAATAATATTAGGAAGTATAAAATGACGTAATCGAACATCCGAATATATCCTATATCCTGAAAAGGAAGAAAATTATACGGGGTAAGGATTAAGGTTTATCCAATTTTTATGTGTAACTACATACTATACAAGGATCCAAATATTAAGAACTGTTTGCGAAATATTAACAGTTATTGTTTTATACATGAATGTTAAGTAGTGGAATTGATAAAATGACAAATGTACTTGTTAAAAATCTCTTAACTAAAGCTTATTTAATGCTCCTTAATCTTGGATTTTTTTAGTCTAGAACAGGAATTCGCGACGGTCCAGCAAAAAAATTTAAAAGTATTTATTGTAATGTATTGTAATCGTGAAAAGTCACCTTACGAGATTATTTCAGAGGTTTACGATTCAGGGTCTCTTTGCCGGTATTGTTAAAATTTGCCAGTGTTGTTCATTATAATAAGATGTGAATTTAACGCTAACTAAATATTAATAAACAACGATTTTTTTTAAACATTAACACCCTTCCCTGTATCTTGAAAACCGGACTTTTTAGGAAACATGTGTATATAAACTTATATACTTGAATTTGGTTCAGAAATGCGCCCTTAAAATTACGGCCTATCATTAAGTAACAACCCTGTATAGCTAATTTTTCTGCAAATTTATATTTTTAAATATTTTGTAGCTACCATATCACGAAGTCGTCCAATTCTGTAAATCCCTGTCCATGGAACTGATTAGCGTTCCCTCTGTCAACAAAAATATCGAACTACATAGATTATTACAACACTCAGGTAAGTAATATAAAGATCACAGGTAAGGAACGTGCAAAGTCACTATTATTAAAAGGTCAGAAAATTGAATTTTTAATTGGAAAACCCCATAAATTTTCCTAAATTTTGAGTTTAGAAACAATTATTGTGTCACCCGTTGACTTTTGCAAAATGTAATGAGGTTAAAAACTAACGATATGCTTTAAAAAACTACCGACATACATAAAACTCAGTAAAAAAACGTTCAAAGCACTTCTTTGCGGGTAGTGCCGGAAGATTTTCATTTTACCTCAATTTTAGTAATCTTAGCAAATACTGTAGGGTTTACCCTAGAATATTTTTAAAAAGGAATTACAGGATTGCCAAGCAATTAATATCAACGATATAAAATGATACAGACCCCAAAAATAAAATTATCAGAATTTAAGTAGCTTATCAATGAGTTGAACATTATTTAAAATACAGGCTTATAAGATACCAAACTAACGAATAGACATGATAGAACTAGTTTATTTTATACATCTCAACTATGGCTCATTTTAACTTCTGTTTACCCAATTTGAACACCCTGTATATCATTTTAGCATTAAATTCATTATAAATTTACCTATCTAACGATACCATCAGTTAGCCTATTATACATATATAGGATGTCTCATCAGTGCGTAATTGATCGATAGCTGTTTTAGTATTAGAAATACGAAGACATTTTTAAGTTGTGCAATCATATTTTAAAATTATTCCTAAGTATACAGAAAAGTTAATAAATGAGTGGTGGAAAAACTTATATTGTTTTAAAATAAAACCCCCTTTGTAAAAAAATTATTTGTTCTCACATCGTCAAACAATTTAAATAGACCTAATGTTTCTAAAATTGTTTTGACTTTCCATTCATTTGCTACGTTGTATATAGAGTGTGTCAAAACGCAAGATTACGATTTTATTATTTTTTTTTAAATGAAATGTCCTGTATGTTACACCACCAATTTAATTAATTAATAATTTAGTTTCTTTACTTTTTATTTTGTTTGGCATTCTTGAGCATAAACTCATTTTTATTTTTTTTTACAATGGTTCTTATTACTTGTAACGTCGAAGGAATAGAAAACCATTAATTCTGACAAATGGTTTTCCAAAAATTACATTAGCATTTTACCCTAAATAAGTCCATATTTTCAGAAGCCAATTAGAAAAATGTAAAAAAATTATGTCAGTTTTTATAGTAAAACCGTAAAAATCTTGAGAAAAAATTCGTTTGGGAACAGAATGCCAAACAAAATAAAAAAAGTAAAGAAATTAATTGATAAATTGGTGGTATAACACACAAGATATATTTGAAAAAATTAAGAATATCGTAACCTCAAGTTTAGACACACCCTGTATGCATCACAGCAAATAAATGAAAATGTTATGTTATTCTATTAAAATTATAAAACGATGTGAAAACAACCAAATCTGTAAAGCGTAACTACCTACAGGGTGTTTAAAAAACTATCTGTTTGCTTTTCCCCTCATTAATAGACTACCATGTATATAAAAGAATAATTGTAAAATATGGCCTTACAACTTTTATATTAAACATTTCTTCATTTCTCCAATAAAATGTCTATCGATCAATTACCCACTGATATGACCTCGGAGTCATATTTGACCAAAGGCTGACATGGAATCAACATCTCAAAAAACTCACACATAAAGCTACAATAGCTCTCGTAAGCTGTAGAAGAATATGTGGGAAAAACTGGGGTCTAAACCCCAAAATGACCATATGGTTATACACAAGGGTAATAAGACCCATGATAACCTATGGCGCAGTGGCGTGGGTAACCAAAACTGCGCAGGCAAGTGCAATAGGCCAACTCACTAGCATTCAGCGGCTTGCCTGTCTAAGTGCTACTGGGGCCATGTGCACTACGCCGACCGCAGCAATGGAGGTATTACTAAATCTCACGCCATTGCACATCTTCATACAAGGAGAAACCAGGTCAACTATTCACAGGCTAATGCAGGGACAAAACCCAATAAGCCAACTACATAGCGCCGACCACACAAGGCTATATCAGCAAGTACAAAGGGATAATATTCTAGTTATGCCTACTGATAGAGCCATAACCACATACAAATTTGAAAGAAATTTTCAAATTCAAATACCAGCCCGAGAATCCTGGAAACAGGGACCTCCCGTACAGGCTGAACTCGTCTGGTACACAGACGGTTCAAAAACCAAGGAAGGAGCCGGTGCTGGAATCTATGGACCTAAGTCGAAATCAACGATTTCACTAAGCTTAGGAAAATATGCAACAGTGTTCCAGGCTGAGCTAATAGCCATACAACACTGTGCAAGAGAAATATTAAATCAGCAAGTATCAGGCAAAACTATTGCCATATACTCTGATAGCCAAGCAGCTCTAAAGGCAATTCTCTCACCAGAAATCAAATCACGACTGGTGAAAGACTGTCTAGAAGACCTGACAGAGCTAAGTAGTCAAAATAAGGTGACCTTAGCCTAGGTTCCAGGCCATGAGGGATATCAGGGCAACGAAAAGGCCGACGAATTAGCCCGAGAAGGCTCAGATAAGGCCATGACAGGCCCTGAACCCTTTTGTGGAGTCGCTAAGGCATTGTGCAAGGCATCCATTAAACAATGGATGCAAAAAGAGTCTCAGGAATGGTGGAACAACTATCCAAGACTGAGACAGGCCAAACAGTTCATCAAGGAACCATCGGCCAAGTTTACGAAAGACCTACTGGATCAAAAACGTCAAATCGTTAGGATAACAGTAGGCCTTCTTACTGGACACTGTCGCCTCAAAAGGCACATGAGTGTCATAAATCCAGCAGAAGAAGCAACTTTGTGCAGGTTCTGTGAAGAAGAAGAGGAAACATCATTCCACGTCCTGTGCCAATGTGAAGGCTTGGCTGGAATGAGGTTTCTAACATTGGGCGAAGAAAAGCCAATTGCATGCAACTACATGCGGGAGCCACTGTCAAAGCTACTAAGTCTAATAAAAAAGACCAGGCTAGACGACATACTCTAAAACAAACGGAGTCCCACAATAGATCTGAAAAGGTCGCGATGGACAAGGACAAATAACGTCCAACTCCTAATCTAATCTAATCTAATCTACCCACTGATGTATATGTATATTTAAAACACTGTATAAAATGAACCAATTCTTTCATCACAGCTCGGTCCTTATAAGTTGAAAAATATTCTAGTGATAAATACAGTATTAACATGCCACTCTAAAATTACAGGGTGTTCCATTTAAAAACATGTTTTTACTCTCCAGGCAAAAGCGTAACACCCTGTATCCAAAAATATTTTTTAATTATATTTTTTTCAAATCCACCTAACTTTTATTCAAAACATGTGTCTATAATACAAATTGAAATATTAAGCAATTGTGCATTAATGGGACAGCCTGTGTAGAACTGCGCCGAGAGTTAACGTCTTTTTTCATCCTTTCAGACTTTATTATATAAACTACTCTTAATTGTTTTTGGTCCAGCCTTTCTTAGAAGATTTTGACATGGTAGCTGCAGCTTCATTGGCTAATTGTACCACCATTTGGATACCCTACTTCTCGCGATTTATTAATTTCTCATATATTCCTCTCCCTAGATAGGCTTCCGACAACTTATAGTATTGGGTCAACCATTCATGAAGTGCTTGACTACCTATAAATCAATTTATAGGTACACCGTCAGCCAGCGACCCCGTAATATACTTCTTTGACATCAGTACTTGACCTCCTATAGAGGTCTATGTCCTTTTCTCTTCTTGTGTTAACTTCTGTCTGTATATATAATCACTCTGTATATATAATAGCTAGTCGCCAGGATACATTTTTAGATTTTCATTGTGTATGGCCCATGACGTTAATTTACGTCCAAACTTCTAAATATTCGTATACCGATGGGTCAGAGCATGTAGTTGGTGTTAAAGCTTGGACAGCGAAAGCGTTAAATACAAAATCTTTCATTTTCTCCTACTACTCAGTGTGTACACAACTACAACCCCTTTGAAGGATTTAAATAAAGGCTTGTTTTCAGAAATGCTTTTTACTAATAATTTATTTAACATAATTCGTCACCATTAACCTTACTCGCCATGCTCACTCAAAGTAATCCGCGAATTTTAAAACCAACTTGAAACGTTCTTATTTAGTTTCGCTAGTCTTTCTCTGTATATGAATTTAAAATCTGTTAATATCAGTAACAGGGAGCGATTCTTCTCAATATTAATAGTTTACATGAAAGTACATACAAAAATGGCGGTAGTATCTTAACTTTGGTAAAATAGTGACTTTGCTTGTTTGTTCCCTGTGATATGCATATATAGTATATACAAAAAAAATTAAATAAAAAATGAACTCAAAGTCAGTATTAGATAATAATGCGAGAAACTATTTCCCACAGGAAAATACTGCAACATGCACTGAATTATATCCGTAGGAACTTAGCAGAGATAGAAAATAATCTTAAACACATCTTGAAGAGTCAAATAAGGACGAAACCTGTCTTAAATAACGCTCTTCTTAGTAAGCAAAATGAAAGGTAGAGTGTTGAAAATTATTTTATATCACAGTGGTTTTCATTTGGATATAATTCAATTCCTGTTGGGGTATTAGCCAAAGGAGTAGTTCTTTTCCTAAGGGAAACAGTCGTTAGTATTATTATGTGTCACTGGCTTTAAGTTTTTTTCACTTTAATATTTTTTTTATTTATTTTACATTTGAGTTGGAATTATATTTTTAAAGACCTATTAATGTATGAAATAAACACTACAGGTTCCAACAAAGAACCTTGTAAGCCATCTGTAGCAGTTGGAATGTCTCTGTTGTTATTATTGTTATGTAGATAGGAAAGTAGATATCTACACTGAATAATTGAATACCTCAAATTTCATAAACGTTTCGTAACACAAATGTCTTCCATAATGGATGATGGTCTGAGTAGTGGTGGAAAAATGGAGGAAAGTTTCGATGAGCACAATAACAAAATAATTTTTATATAATTGTAATAAAATCTAATAAGTAAAATCTAAATCTATTTCAGGAAAAGGCTTCATCAACGACAGTCACAGTTGGCCCTTCTGGTCTTCCGGTAACCGCTTCGCTGACGGAAAAACCTTCTATTGGTTATCGGGGGAACCGATAGAGTATTTCAATTGGCAAGACATGTATGACAACGGTTCCTACTGCATAACGCTGTATTCCGATTGGACGGAGATCCTGTGGGAGAACCGGAATCCGTGCTCCTTCGGGCAATCGTTTATATGCGAAAATGCGAATTATAAGATGGAGAAGGCTAGAAAGAACGTTTATTATGATGGGGTTGAGTACAGGAATTATAAGCCTGGGTTGTTGCCTATTCATCTGACCAAGCAATATTATATTAGTCATGAAGTAGTAAGTATTTTGATTTCTTTATCATCTCCCAAATGCTTCTTTTAAGGTTTTTTGACCGACTTCGAAAAAGGAGGAGGTTCTCAATTCGTCGAGATATATTTTTTTTTATGTATGTTCAGCGGTAATTTTTTAACACGGTGTCCGATTTGAATGATTCTTTTTTTGTTAAAAAGGAGGAACTTCAGGTGTGGTCCCAATTTGGTCAAAATCTAATAATTGGCTCCATGATAAAATCCTCAAACTCTTCATTTTTTATGTATGTTTAGCGATAATGCGATTTATATGATTCTTTTTTGTTAGTAAGGGGGTACCTCAAGGGTGGTCCCATAAAAATTTGGTTAAGATGTGGTGATGGCATCTGCACGTTTTTGAAGTCGGTTTTTTAAAATTTTTAATTTCTAATACTTGTCACGTTTGAATTCTTGAAGTAATTCAAGATTTGGACTGAAATGGGCTGTAGCTCCGGAATCTATAAACCAATCTTCGTTACTAGTCGGTATTATAGATTTGGTACATCTTACAGCAACTAAGCCGTTCTCTGTATTTCTTGTGTGGTTTTCTTTCGTACATTTTTTATTCGGACATCTACTTGCTATGTGGTTGTATTTATTACAGTTGTAGCATCTAGGACCTTTTCTTTTCTTTTCTTTTCTTTTGAAAACTGTTTGACTGTTTATTGCTGTAAAGTGCGACTCCTGAATTGCTAGTTGATGCAATATTTTTTACTATTTCTTGCAATAATAAGTTTTTTACGAATTCTGTGGTTGTAGACTGCTTTGAACCTTGAATACCCAAAATAGGTGGTTTATATTCTTCTGGTAAACCATCAAGAATGATTCCTCCAACCACTGTATCCTTAAATGGTTCACCGATGTTTTTTAACTGCTCGGCTATACTTAGTATCTTTTCTACATACTCTTGCATGGAACTGCATGCCTCGAATTTAGTTTTAAATAGGCCAGAGTATAACCCAACTAAATCTTTCAATGCCTGAATCTTCATAAACTTTTCTGAAATTTTCCCATGCCTCTTTAGCGGTAGTTATAGCACTGGGTTTTAGAGAAAGGTTTATTATACTTTCTTTTATATCTTTTAAGTTGCATTTTTTTTGTTGCATTTTTGATCATTAATTTAAAATCACCAACCACAGTACATATCGATTATTGAAAATGAGTTATTTCTTATAGGTAACTTACTATAGAGCGCATAAGTTTTGCGAATCAAGAGGGTTACAGCTTCTAAGTATACAAGATAAAGATAAGAACCAAGCTATTTACAGGGAATTAAATAAAAGAGGTATGTACGTTTACATTTACGGGTCGCATATTCGTATCAAGCGTGCAGTATCGCAGGCTCGTCTTTTCCGTGTACCGCCGAATGCATCGACATATCCAGAGCGCGAGAACGCATTATGCTAGATGTATCCAACGTTCGAAATTGCAATTATTAATTTTTGGCATTTGTCATGGTCACTTGTTTTTGTATCGTGCAACTAAGATGGAGAATTTTTGTTTGCCGCCAGATTTTCCCTACGTTATAGAAAATGACACAGTAAGACTTAAAATAACATTACAATCAAAAAAAATTTATGCCGAAAAGGAAAAAAGATATCGGTTCAACCAAGATCAGTTTCAAGAAGAAAGGTTCATGCATGTGGACGTAGAAAAGTGCAAAGTGGACGAAAAGTTTCTTCTTTAGTTAAAAAGAAGGCGAAAGCACCTCACAATTTACTCCTGTACGTGGAGAAAAATATACCTTTAGGAGAAAATAAGTTTTTAAAATAAGCAAATTGTGTAATTTCTTAAAAAAACATTAAAATTACTTTGTTTACACTTGTAATAAAACTTTAAGGCGAATGTGTTTTGGATTATATGCCACACAAATTTAAAAATATTACTTAGAGGGGCATATCTTGTCAATATGTTGCGATATCGAATGCTGAGTACCACGCGAAAAGCCTGAACAATGCGTTCCCGCGCGCTGTATACCTGAACGGATTCGAGGGAACTCGGAAAAGGTGAGCCTGCGATACTGGACGCTTGATACGAATATGCTTACGGGTCTCATATTTTTAATAATTTTGTTTTAAAAAACTTATTTTATTAAGTTAATATCGCTACAAGTTTTATTTTTTGACAATTTAAAGTAAATCAAATAAAATGTTTTAATTTGGTTTCGAAAAAAGGACGATTTTTAGTGTTATCAGTATACAAGATTAGTTGATTGGCTAAAACGTTATCCAAATGGCATCTGATATCTACAAGAAAACTATTAAAAATATATTTTAAATCATATGGACCTGTTAATTGTTGAGATTATTCACAAGGTAGCTCTCTAACACTAATAAATTAATCAAATGATTATTTAACACTATAATAATCAACCAATGACAATCATCTATTATCTTAACATACGCCAATCAAAACAAAACTATATCAACACTAAATGGTGTGGTAGAGCTATTGGGAAAAATCTGAAAGATTTAAATCTCTCATTATACAACTCCAACAAGAAATTAAGGCATTAAAAATTGAGGACAACCAATATATGAAGTCTAAACGAGAGATTCCCAGACAGTTGGAGTGGCAGAAGGAAAGCAATTGAATTGCCCCCAAGAGTACCTGATTTAACTCTTTTTTTCTTTGGAGACACCTTAAATCTGTTGTTTAAACCTGCTGATATTGATGATCTTAAAAGGCGAATTATAGAATTAATAGAAATTCAATTTCTGTTGATATGACATGCATATTATAAAATCGCCATACATTACCGTCTCGATGATGGTGGGTGAGGTTTTCTGGGTTTTCCTCACCTGTAAGTCAAATGGCACCATCAATCATCTTTAAGTCGTCCCGGAGCGCCACGGCAAATAATAATAATAATAATAGCCGTCCTTTTCCCCGCACAAGCTCAGCTATTTGGGTTAAAATTCACTCGTAAGGGGGTGAATTAGGGAGAGTATTATTATTAATATTATTAATATAGTAGCATGCCGGTCAATTCTTGGTGAAGTTTTCCGAAATGTTGGAGAGAAGTTATTGAACTCAATGGAATAATTTTTGTTTAAATAATAAACTTAAAACCAAAAATTCAGTGCAGGCACGTTCCAATTTCTGTAACTGTGGAACGCAATTTTTCGGAACCTGCTGGTTAGCAAATAACAAATTAGGGTACCATTGGAAACAGAATTAAACACCCTTTAAAATGATGTGCCACTCGAGCCCCTTTCTCATTTGTCTTAAACTATAGTTTTTGTTTTATTTTAACACTTGTGGTATAAATGTAAATACATAAGACATTTTTTGGCTTAGAAATATTAGTTTTGAGTTTGGTTATCTCTAAAAATTGTTTACCAACTATTTAGTTTTGACTGGTAAACGTTTTTACTAGCGCCTGTGTAAATGTATCAGTTCAGTATTTACATAACTGAATGCCATCAATCTTGATTATTTTCGTTCAATCTACACTTTATTTTCTACGCTCGTATTTTTTCAAATTCTTCTCAGCAAAACAATAAAAAAAAATAAAATATAATAAAAAAAACAATAAAACAAAAATTAAAAAAAATACAAAAGAAACACAAAAAAATACTTAAAAAAAATATACAAAAAAAAATAAAAATGGAAAATGAAAAATAAAATAAAATAAAAAAAATGAAAAAATAAAAGCTCACATTGGCATTAGTTTTAAAAAAATGTTAAATTAAAAAAAATCACAAAATGAAAAATGATAAGTGAATCAGGTAATCATTAGTTTCCATGTTGACTCATTTTTTAATTTCCTGGATTTGCAGATACCGTTTTTCAAAAAAGAAAATTTCAATTAAAAAGCGATAGGGTAACAATTTTACAAGGCCGCGAACCTATCATTACAACATTGTAAAAATGATGTAAAAATTTGTGAGATAATTTTACATCGTTTGCTCACGTTAATTTAAAAAAATATTAAAACAATAAAAAATTACAAAAATAAAATATGATGACTGCATTATTTAATCATTCGTTTGTCCACGTTTGCCTTTTTTTAGTTTTTCCAATTTGCATACTGTTCTAAGAAAAAAATTTAAATTAAAAATGGATCGGATGACAATTTCATTGCCATTACTTTTTGCTAATTCCTTATAAAAAGATGGACACACCGAAATAATCCCAAAAATAAACTTAAAAAACTGCTTTACACCTGCTCTCACTGTAAAATCGCACAGTTGTTTAAAAAAAATGTATTTCCAATGAAAAATATGTTTCTATATTTTGTTATTTAAAGTTTTAACCTTAAATGGGCAGTGGTAAACATGTTTAACACTTTTTTTTGTAAAGTTTTGAATATATTTTTGTAAATTACCGTGTATGTTCTGACAAACATTTAAATATTGCTGATCCCAAAAAATTACTTTATGTTCGTACTACATCATTTTAGCCCGGCTCCATGACAAAATAGCGCATTACAAAATGGCATAGGACAAAATAGCGCAGACAAAATTGCGCAGGCCAAAATAGCGCAAGGACAAAATAGCGCGTAACGTACAAGATGTTTTTTTAGTTAATGAAATCGATTGAAATAATGCGTAACAAATACTATTCCGACGACGCCGCGACGCCTATGTAGAGAATGTTTGAACTGTAGCTCCGTCTCTCTCATATTTTAGGATCATACCAATTATAGCGTGAAACAATTTCGCGCGGGACAAATTTGCGCCGAGACAAATTCATAAGAGATAAAATAGCGCATAATATAAATAGAGACCAACTAACGCCTAGTCTAATTATAGTAAATCAAGTTAGCACTTTTTCATAAAAGAGTGAAACAAATTAGCGCTTGACAAAATATGTCAGTATGCTAATTAAAACTAATAAAAAAAACCTAAACCAATTTACCCAACCTGTATGTCCTGGAGCCCTGGCAGTTTGCTATATATGGCTCCAGGTAGCATAAATTAGGTAAATTTGTTACATTTTTTTTTTATTTTTCTAATTTTATGTAAATTTTTCTTAAAGCAACCTGTGACAGCTTCAGGCCGTCCAGATAAGGTAAATTAGTTTTTTTTTTAATTTTATTTAGAATACTGGAATATTTTGACACGCGCTTTAGGTCCTACACTATTTTGTATTGTGCTATTATGTCCTGCGCTATTTTGTGCTTACGCTATTTTGTCTTGCGCTATTTTGTCCTTGCGCTATTTTATCTTTGTGCTATTTTTTCCTTGCGCTATTTTTTCCTTGCACTATTTTGTCTTGCACCATTATGTCCTGCGCTGTTTTACCACGGATATTTTTTGCCTCGTGGGCGAATTTAGTATATTTTAATAAAATATGGGGTATGGTTAGGTTATTAAACAAATCACAAACTGGTCGAGATATCTTAGAAATTGGGTAGATGTGGGTTATTCTTGTATGGTCGAGAGATAATCGTGTTAATTTGACGAATAACGATCGATTTTTTTATACCGGGTGTTCAAATTAAAGTGTTACAGTTAAATACCGCCGAAAATGTGCATTTTAGAAAAAAAAGTTTCAGACTAAAGATTTATAGTTTTTTGGGGGAAATATTTTGGCTAAATTCATTTTTTTATAGCTGACCATAATATGGCCATATCGAGGTGTAATTTTTTTTTTTCAAATTGGAACCCCAGTTTTTTTTACATATTCTTAAAGTTCATAAAAAAAATAAGAAACTTTTGAGGGAAATTTTTTATTGGACTTTAACTTTTTGAGTCACAGCTACTTGAAAATTTTGCTGCGCGAAAAAAAAGTTGGCCATATTATGGTTAGCTATAAAAAACGATTGCATTCAAAAAATTTTCCCCACGAAACTATAAAACTTTCGTCTGAAACGGTTTTTTTTTTATAAAAAGCGGTATATAGCTGTAACGCTTTAATTTGAACTTCCGGTATAAAGCGAAATATTGGACTTCACCACCAAATCAATGCGATAAAAATTAATAGAAGGTTGTTTTATTTCTTATACAGATGATAAAGTATTCTTACTTAAAAGTAACAACCATGACATTTAGTCATGTTTCGATGTTTTTTTTTTCGTTATTTCGTCTCATACTATATTGTTTTGCGCTATTCACTGGTCCTAGTAAGATTGAAAAATCTGTTTTAGGTATTACAAGAAATTTTACATATTGGATCTCAGCAGCTCGAGTACCCGGTACCAACATATGGGAAAGCGATGGTGGTTTGGCTGTGAAATTCTTCAACTGGAAGAAAGGTTCTCCTAGGGATAACAAGTATAACGCCAACTGTATAGAACTCTTCCAAAGTGGCAGGGAATTAAAATGGAACGATATCCCTTGCGAATACAAAAGGAACTTTATCTGTGAAAACGCTTTTCCTAAGGTCAACATGTATTGCATAAGATCGCAGGAAGATGTTTCGGAAGCTAGTGGTGTACAGTAACAATACAAAAAGTTTTTTGTAAAATAAAGGACTTGCTGTTTCCTTAATAGTAGATAGTTTAGAATACCTACATTTCAGTAAAGTAATATATATAGTAATATATTTCAGTTATACTTAAAATACGATATTTCTGGAATTCAATTACCACGTAAAATGATACACCCTGTAAATTATGTAATAAACTCAGTTTATGGAATTTCAGATATTATCGATTATTTCACTTGTTACATTTTTAGATAATCACAAATCTGTTTTTAGTTTCGTTAACATTACTCTGGATATAATTTATAAGTGAAAATTTAAACTGTCAAAATATTGACTAAATAACTATATTTTTATTTACCTCCATCGTATTCTCACTGCAATATGATAAATATAGTACTTATTTTACAATACGAATGTGGAAAGTGACATTTTTCACACGAGTGGCAAATATAGTGGCACGAGACATAATCCGAGTGCGCCAATTACTCCTTTTTTATTTTGAACTCTTCGCTCAATGAACCGGTATCATGCAATCTTTAGTGAATTCTTCCAAATATACGATGCGAAGGAATCCCTAGATTTGGAAAAGCTTCACAATTAAGACATCGCACTTCGGTGGCATACCCATTAGCACGGTCATATATAAAATGCATGTCGGTTAATTCTGCATTAAGGGCCTCATACACCTCGTTCTTCTCTGCCGTTTTCAACCGATGCGAAATAGCGAAGTCGGTTGAGTCTACACACATCAGTTTTGTTTCGCGCCGGTTTATCATGATGGACCGTACGTGCTTGTTAGCAGTGGTGGCGGCTTTGCCAGTGAAAAATAAGATTGTGAAAAAAGAAAACGTCACATCAAATAGACACTATAATAGGAAACATTGGAACTGACCTAAGATTTCTTCTCATTCTTCCCATATAAGTATCTTCCCAATAATTAATTAAATTATCCATTTCATCTGGGCACCTCTCAGTCAAAGTTACAAATGCAAACTTGACCATCGTCTGAAGGTGTGAAACTTAAAGCTAGGAACATTTTTACGCACATTCGCAGATTATCATTTTTTAGGTATTTTACATTTTTTATTTGGGCTAAATTGCAAGGTTTTGTGATATCGGAAGATTAATTAAATTATTTAATAAATTATTATGTTAATTTATTTGATTCATAACCTAAAATTATACTCCTATGTTCCTATTTCTCCGCAATCGTATATTGGATCATCTTTTAAATTTATTTTATGAAGATTTGCGGCAGCTAGTGAATGATTTAACTTTAATCTGCAAATTCGGGATAACATAATGTTTGTTTACATACATGATACATGTCATGAAGCCAGGGTTTACACGGTATAACTGTTTGTAGATTTTCATAATTTACCTTTATTTTAATTATTATAATCTTATTTCTATATATTTCTTATTAAGGTTTTTGAAAAAACGGCTATATCTTCTTTTGTGCATTTATATTCTGCTACATTTGTACTTACTGATCCTTGTTTGGCATGTTATCCACAACTTCATTATTTATTAATCCAAACCAGCTGTTTCATAATATTCATATCATTAATATTTTTAATAATTTTCAAAATTTTAACTATAATATAGCTCAAATTTTGGCTTCAGTTTTTCAACAGCACTTTTACTATCTGAGAAAATGACAATAGTCTTTTTGATATCTTCTCTGGATAGCTTCAAAAATTGCTAATAATTCCGCGAAATAAATAGATATTTTTTTTTATCAAGGTTAACACATTTACTAAAATTATTTTTAGGTATTCAGTAAGCGGCGGAAACATTATTTTGCTATTTTGAGGCGTCGGTATAAATTTGAATAAAATTTGGAAACATTTCTGCTACGTGATGGTTGAATATTACATTTCTTAATTGGGTTCTATGTCATGGCATTTTTGTGCCAATAGAGTTTCTTTAAAATTTATTTCTTTTAAATCAATCTGAAATATGGATGGAATATTTGTTTAATATATATTGCTTGTATCTCGGAATATGAGTCGATTGTGAGATCCGAAATATATAAAATAAATGGTTAATTTTTTTTAGTAAATTACTATTTTTATACTTCAATAAATAAATTTGGAGCTTAAATATAATCTTCTTATGTGTAATAAACATTTAATCGCTTGTACATATATATATTACTATTTGGTGTACTTCTTAATGTCCCCAAACATAATCTAAGATACTTATTTATTAATACATCTAAATTTTTTAAGTGTATATTTGCAGCTCGATGGTAGAAAATCTAAAATCTAGAGAATCTAGAATGCATCTTTTAAATGATCTATATAAACATAAAGAAATGTTAGCATCTGCGCCCCATGACATATGTGTTACTGCCCTTAATATATTTAGACCTCTTTCTGATATGCCATGCCTAATTATTTGACTTTTTGTTGCACATTAAATTTTGTTGATTATAGTTTTTTATTTTCAATACTTAAAGGATACAAATTTCTATCATTATTCACAAAAAATAGTTTCAAGTTTGTCATTTTCAAATGATTTTAATTCTAAGTAACGCCAAAGTATAGGGACCGTGTGTGAAATATAGAAGAAGCACTATTGCCGACGTTAGCCATCTCTAGAGTTTAATTTTAGAATTAAATGGGGTAAATATTGCAAGTAAATAATAAAGCATATTTTTTCAAAATAACAAACAATCGTGAACATGGTCAAAATGATATAAAATGTGAAAAACTATTAAAATCTGTACATGTATATACATTTTGAGCAGAAAGATTTAAATGGCTAAGTGACAATAAATTGTAAAGTTGTACCTCAAGCAAGTCTATAATAAGATTGAGAATAATAATAATAATAATAATTCTTTTTAGCGTTATATCCACAGTACAAAGATTATTACCAGTAATCGCACTCCCTGTCGGCGCCTTTGATCTAGATGTCCCAGTTCTGAACTCGCGCAGGCATCGACGCGCACATATGGCCGCTGTTAATTCGACCGCCAATTTTAAATAATTAATGTTATTAATATTAATTGTTTACATTTTTAAGTAATTTTTATAGTTAAGAATGATTGTTTAATTTGTAATATTTTTAATAATTAATTTTTGTCATCCATGATGCCACCTTTAAAATTTAGCTGACCCGGATAAAAATAGCAAGAGAAAGAAAATTTTTATTTTCAAGCTTATTTTATTCAAAATAACAATTCACACATGAAAAGAACTAATTTTTATTTCCTTAAAAATATAATTAAACATTGCATTTTTATTGTCATAAAGTATTTTAAAATGTTTCGAAATTTAAAGCTATATTTATTATTACTTTGGCATAGTGTTACTAAATTCTTTTGTTCACTTTTCTCTAAATACTTGACACGTCATATTAAAATTTAGTGGAGGTAGAATATATATTTTTTATTTTGGTGAAACGCGGTTTAACCTACAGATAAATTAATATTAAATATATTAATATTAATTTATCTATGGTTTAACCCCGAGAAAATATCTAGTAAACCGGAGCTCGAAGACCATATATTAAAACCCGGAGTCTCCAAGTGAAACCAGGAGAGGTGGCAATTCTACATCCATATCAAATTTGTAATCGTATATTTATATATTGACACACAAAATCACATCCAAGTTGCACCAGGACAACTTTATGTGATTTTAATGTAGTAATGTATAAAATTATTTTTATTTGTATTAAATCTAGAACAATTATATTTTTTACAAATATGTAAATTTAAAAAATGTAGATATATGTATATAAATTTTAGTTTGTCGAGTTCAAATCAATTGATATAAAAATAAAACAAAGTATTCGGTAAATTTTTTTTATTAAAATCTCATACATACGTACATATAAAAAAAATAACAAATTCTAAAATAAATGTTTACAAATCTTGTAGAATTATTAGTTTTTTATTTTTTTTTGTTGGTTTTTTGATTTTTTAAATTTTTGTACACATATTTTAAAGTATAAAATATTCTTAATCGTACATATAAATTTAACAAATATGAGATGGGAAAATTCTCGCAAGGATGTACATAAATAATTTTTTCTGTATTGCATTTAATTTCATATCCAACACCGTTATTTAAAGCTATTGTGGGAAATAATTCACAGAATTTTTGATCGAGTTTATGAATATACTCGTAAAACGATTCTGGTGGCATGATCAAATTTCCAAATATATTTTGGTCACTACTTCTATAAGCTCTCATTTGGCAAAGTACCGTTTCATTAGTGAGCTCGGTTTGTTCTTTTGAGAATTGCAGGCAAATAGGACAGGAATGTTTTCCCAAACATTTTTTAATGAGATACCCTGCTACCCAAGATAAAGCATTTTTTTCAGGTAATTGAGCCTCTGAATAATCTTTCTTGTTTATTGTTAAAATTTCATTAATAATATTCTCTTTCCCATCAGTTTCTGAAATATTTACATCTAGTACATTTGTTTTATTAAATTTTACTAACAATTCATTAAAATCTTGAGCACAATTGGCACCTTTATTGTATTTAAAATAATTTAAACAAAATGTTTTTTTAAACAATCTTTGAAATTGAATCGGGGTAGGATTAAGAGAATTTCCTCCTTGAGCCCTCAAATTACCAAACATATTCTCCAAAGAATCCTGGTTTATAAACCTTGTACAAATAAATTTGCAACCTTTTATTTTTAAATCATCCCATAGCATTATCATTGCTGTTATAGTAATTTGCCAACCATTTAAAAATTTAACTTTTTTTGTCATATCTTTCCCATCTTTACTTATAATTTGCAAATTGCTAAATAATTTCCTCATTTTAATTAAATGGTCTAATTGCTCATTACTTCCTACGAATGGTCTATTCAGTATCTTTGGATAGTCAAACGTAAGAGAATTTAATATATCAAATAAAATATCAATTTGGCTCACAAAAGTTGCAGTATAAATTGCATTTGAGGGCAAATAACCAAAGGTAATTAAGAGCTCAAGTCCAACTGCTACGTGGTTACTCAATATTTGTGCTGCCGAAGAAACTGACATTACTTGAAAGCGAGTGGGATGTATATGTGTTTCGCTGACCTTTGGTATTAAACGATTAAATTTTGATTTGTCATAATTATACATCATTTCAATATATTTTTTCTCAATTACCTCATTATTAATTTTAAAATTATGTTTGAAAAGCATATTTCTAGTCGACTTTAATAAATGAGGAGTATCGAAAAAGTAAAATATTTTGACACTATCGACAAAAAAGAAGGGTTGTTGTTTTGTTACATCATTATCTTTTGCGAATGACAAAAAATTGGATCCTTAATCAGTCACCATACCTAATACATTAAGGCCTACAAAAGTTAACTTTTTTATGCAAGTATGAACAATCTCATTAAGGTATTCAATCTTACACATATTATGAATAAAAAATAGGCAACTGGCTGCTTCCAATTCGATTGAATACCTCTGGCCATGATTGCTAATGCACAGTTGGCAGGCTCATAACTACGAATACCATTGGCTTGGTGAAAACCAACAATGGAGTCTTTGGAAAGGTTATAATATAGATGTGTTTTTAGAGACATCTCGTCTACGCATGTAATACAATCTTTTGCTCGATCAGTACAGTTTTTCACTTTAATACTTATAAAATTGAACAAGAATGCATTAAAACCAGTGCAAAAGTCCAAATTAGATGTCATTCGACAGAGCGTAGCTTTATGAGGAAGATGAAACGTATCTTTTAAAAATCTGTACACTTTAGGTCCCAAAAAATAAATTGTTAAAGCAAATTGCTTGTATGCTTCTGTATACCTGTACCCATGAGGTTCTCTTTTTGACAGAGTTAGCTGGGTAATTATAAAATTTTGTAAGGGTTCACTGAACTTTTCCTGACAAAATTTGATGAAGCCTTCTTCGGAAATTGTGTTGCTGTCTTCTACATTTCTTTGCGGACTCTCAGACAGACGAAGACACTTTTTTTTCAAGTTTAAAACTTCTCGATGAAGCTTTCTTTTCCTTGGAGTTGAGCAAGATAGATTTGGAGACGTTTGAGTTTCTTGTCCTTTTAAATTTGGATCAATATTTTCCTCTTGTCTTGTTTCCATTGGGTCTGTTATCAATGACGCTCTAGAAGTTGA